GCTCCTGCGGTTTTTACCTTGTTTCACCAGCTACAATAATTTTGTTGTGGGTTTTTTTTTAATGGCAACAAAAAATATTTTTTCTGTGTGACAGTGGTGTGCTAGATGTATCAAAAGGCAAGTGCAAAACTCTTTGTCAGGGAAAGCTGCTTTTAATACCAGCTGAAATTTTGTTTGTTGTATTCCAGAGAGATTTATAAATTACTACCTTATGATATGGACAAGTGTCCTTAGGAAGATCAGCATTACATTTCAGGCAAAGAAAAGGGGTATTTACGTGGTGTATGCAATGGTACCAGCAACCATGTTGTGTTTTGCCAGAGCTTCAGTGTGCCCAGTCTCACAGCTTTCCCTATTAATGTTTAATAGGAAAAGCAGCAGGACCCAGCACATTAGTGCTCCAGCACTGCAAAATGGGTTTGGAAACTGCACTGTGGTTGCTGGCAAATTTTTTTCAAATACCTGGATAATTACCGTTAATAAATCAGTACTGAGAAGGCTCCTGACAGCTGAATCAAAGAGTCACTTGGCAGTTGTAGGATAACAAAGTGTTATTTGACTGTAAATGTTCAGGTAGGGAGCAGTTGTGCAGTCCCAGTCAAACTCTTCTTCTGCAAAACGAGAGAGGACGGAATCCTGCTCCTGCAGAAATGGCTCCTTGGGATGCCCACACCTGTCTGTGTGTCTGTTAGAAGTTGTGTGCTGAGGTGCTGCTAATTTAGCTCAAGTTTTTGCACTCCTAGGGATGATGAGAAGTGATGTAATATGGGCTAAGGAAGTGGGGAGAGCTGCATTTCCAAGGTTTGTTTCTTGCCATTCCAGACTTTTCCTTGCCTAGAGCAGTCCATGAGCTGGTCCATCAGCTGCTCTTAGTCCAGAGCAGCAAAACTTGAGTCAGGCTATTTTATCACTATAGTGTAGTAGAGTCTTTTAATAGAACAGTCTTTCCACAGGGATGCATTTTTCCCAAAATGGCCACTGCAATGTACATTCAATGTCAGTCTGCTTGTTTTTCTGCTATCACTGGTTTTACTGCTGTGGGGAGGGGGATTCTTATGCCATTTACAGTACCTGATTTAATTTTTTTTGTAGGCTAGGACTGTTTCATTGGCTTGAATTCTCTCCCTTCTCAGTTACTCCTGCTTTGCCCTATTTAGTATAATACCTTCCAGTGTTTTGGTTGGGGTTTTGCTTGGTTGGCTTGGTTGTTTATTTTTGTGGTGGTGTGTTTGCTTTTTCCGGTGTGTTTGATGCATCCATTTCAATGAGATTGAATCAGTGGCACTGTATCCATGTTCAACTTTTTGACAGCATGTGAGACTACAATAAGAGTTAGATCTGGGCAACCCTTCATGTTGTAAACCATTGATTTTGTGTCCTGAAGTAAGACTAGATTTGTGCCTAAATCTTCTGAAGTTTGAATCATTCATGTTTCTGTGCTTCTGTACTTGGTAGTCCACTGGCTTTGTAGGTCACTGGCAATAATACCATGTAAATGAGATCTCTCTAGGTAGAGAGAGCATCCACACAGGCTTGGTACCACTGAAACCATCCCAGAAAATGCCTGTGCTGTAAATTTAATGACTCTTGTGAAGAAATTCATAATGTTGGCAAAATATTTGAAGAGTTCACGGAATGAATGTGACCTGCAGTTCTACATGAAGATTCAGAAAACTAGAGAGTAGATGGTGTAACTGAATTTCCTGGATTTCAGTAAACACACCGGGATGCAGTGGATATATTCAACAGAAGCATTAGTTTTAAAAATACAGCTGGGCACTGCAAGTGGTCAATAAAACTACGTGATCCCAATCCAGAGGTAGAAACTGGAATATTTATTGAACACGGAAAACACAATTTAAGGGTTTTGGGGGCAGGACATGTTAATGAGGAGGATGGGTTATGCTAACTAGGGGATGGATTATGTTAACTAGGGGATTACACAAGTTTCTGCTACAGTTCCACAATTGGTTAATATTTCCCGTAACAAGGATTACATGGAGGGAAGAGAACAAAGGGGTTTCTACATGGTCTGATAACATCATCACAAAGTCTTTCCATGATCTCGGAGGTCCCTTCCAACCCAGCTGATTCTATGATTCTGTCTTGCTGGAGGAGACAGGACAATTAACAAAGCTAAATATTAACAGGTCTTGTGTTGAAGGTCCTTAGAGTAAGGAGTTTCTCCCAGCTCCTGCTGTCCATGGCCTGCTACATAATCTCATCAGCTCCTTCTCTGCTGATAGCTGAGCCTGGAACCCAACAGTGCATCACAAGTTCCAACAGAGATAAAGGATAGCATCTGGCAACAAATCAGGCCTCATCAATTCTTAGCCTAAGAAGGAAGAGAAATATGTAAAGCAAACAAATAAGCTGTGTGATTAAATATCTATACAATTTGTGATGCATTCCCCTTTGGGACCACTATGGGGAAGTACAATATTTCAAATTACCTTGCAAAGAAGCAGATGTGTTTTTTGGAATCTACTGCATGCATCAAACAGCAGTGTGAACTGCTGGCAGTTGGTGCTAACATATGAATATTCCTGTTCTTTGTCCTGAGCTTAATAATTCTGGGGGTTTTCCAGTCTGTCCAATGGGAGCTGACGCCTATACAAAGGGTGTTATCAACAAGTTAGAAATCTCTATAAGCCTAGGAACTCTATGCAGATTATAGAATTTAGTGACACTTCAGGCTGTAAGAAAACAAGGCCATCTTTATGCCCCTTAACTGTATCATTGCTGAAGGTCACAAATATCAGCTCCTCTACTGAAACTGGTGGCACCAACTCGGCTTCCATCACCCAGAGTGTGTTCAGCACATGTCATGTGCCAGTAATCAAACGTGAGCTGGGAAGATGTCCCCACAAAATATACCTTGGAGCTTAGGAAATACAACTGCTAAATCAGAGACTCTCTTTGCTGTAATAGTGGCTGCAAGTGCACACACAGGTTATCTGTAAACTCCCATCTTGTACTGACCAAAAGTTTCCCCATAAAAAATAGGCTGGCATGAAGGGCCATTTCCAGGGAATCCTGAGGGAGAGGAACATTTTAAATGTCATTACTTTCTACTGCTTTGCCATTATCTGATGACACAACTAATTATTCTCGGAAAATGTTGTTTATTTAAACAGTAATTCTTTAGTACCCTATGTTCAGAATATTCTCAATGGGATCAAATAATTCCTTATAATATTAATCATCATAGCATGGAATCATCCTCAAGAGCGTAATTATTGGCAGTGCAACTAGCAACTAGAAGTTCTTGTCAAGTCTACAGGTAAGGCAGATATGGATGTCTTCAAAAGGCATCATTAAAAGCAGCCATTTCAGCAGAAGAAGCTGAAATTTATGATCTTGATATAGTGACTTTGAACTGAAAGCAGTGAAGTCACTGAGCAAGTGGCAAATCATCCATGAACTTATGACTTGCAGCTCCCTTGCTCACCAAAGTCTAATTGTGTGGAAGAGCCCCAAATGTTGGCTTGTTTTGATGTTCAGCTGAAAAAGCAACTTGCTGATCAGGAGTTGCAGTGCTGTTCACCATCCAGAGGTCTTGACATGCTCAGTGAAAGGGAAGGGAGAAGGTACAGAGAGAAGTTATTTTGGACTCAGTCAGTTCTGCCCTGTACAAGAGAGATGTTGGATTGGGAGGGAGGCCTCTGAGAGGGAAAATCCAGCTCAGTCCCCCAGCATGAGCATGAAATGCAGGCGTTCCTGCTTCCTCACTCCAGTCATCACCTTAAGTGCTGATGATTCTGCTTTTCAGAGCAATAACTAAAACAGTTTCTTCCATCCTTGTATTAACAAACTTAGTAAATCATATCCAGCATGATCTTTAGTGGGAAGTTTCACAGTTTATACTGGTACTTACAAGCCCAGTGAGCTCTGGGATATGTGCTCTCTACTTATAGTACAGTGGAGATTTCCTTGGCAGTATAAAAAGCGTTCCAGACAAATAACAGCTATGTTTTGGTTTTGTTACACCTCAGCATGTATCACTTCACAGTGACAAATCTAAATCCCAGTTCTGATTTTGGATTCCTGGCCAAAAGCACTAGTAAGTTTTGTTCTCTCATACAATTTGGTATGTCTCTTTTGAGATACATTTCCCCATAAGGTGCCAGGTGCCTTGTGAGTGAGACAAGTTCTAGAGGCACTTGAGCTCTATGGGCACTTCAGCACAGCACTAAAAGCTGTAACAGCTGACAGGTCCTTATTTTCAGCTCATCTTCCTTTCTCGCTGGTGCACTGTGCTCTCCAGTGCTTTTCTGTAGCTGCTGCTTTATCCTTCTCAGCTGCCACGGGAAGGGCAACTTTTCATTGATCACCTTTGGTGCTAAAACTTGGGAAGGGATCTTGTTTCTTCTGAAGAAATGTGTGTTGAGCTTCCCAGTTGTTCACTCTGCAGTACAGTTATTTTGTTCACTTTGCTTGTGAACACATTTGCTCAACCTTAGCTTTCAAGTGCATATATAAATAGAGAACTTACTGGAGTGTTTGAAATGTGTTGGTAGTAATCTGTCAGCTGGATGCTGAAGCTGCTGAAATCTGCACATAATAGGGTCAGCGTTTTCACCGTTAAGGCAAAAAGCAGTTTTTAGGGATGTGTTGAGTAGTTCTTTGCTCATTATTAAACTGTTAGTTTTTCAATAGGGAGACAAGACTCTAGCTGCATCAAGCTTAATGTAGAAATAACTGTATAGTTTTATGACCTGTATTTTTCAGAAAGCCTGACAAGATGATACTAATGCTCTCCTGGTTGTAAATTCTGTAAGATGCTTAGATACCACATGGTTACAGCATTGGCATAAATATGCTGATTGATTCAGATGTAATTAATTTTTAGATCTTTCTTGCAATTATTCTGGTGATAGATGTCTAAATTTGTCCATAACCTATTAGATAAAATGTCCCACTCTATTACTGCTACTTGTAAAATTTAATGTTTGCAGGGCTTGAGGTTATGGTTCTGCTGTTGCTTTTTTGTTCTACAGGTGTACTTGTGGATCCAGTAAAATTATGAGCTGACCTGCACACTGAAGTGTGGAGTTAGCTCCCAGGAACTGCAGCCCATGAGTACTTGAGAAGGGCTCTCTGGCCAAGGGGAAGGGATGACCAGTGGGGCTGATCCTGGGTCTGCAGTGGAAGAGTGAGGAAGTAGAAATTCAATTTTGAGGCTGAGCATTGTTTCCTGAAGGTCTGCTTCTGAATTTTGGGAGGATACACAACTTCTGCTGTCCTCACCGAGAAGTTGCTTGTGCTGCTGTTCTACAGTAGGTTTTAACTTCCAGTGCATCACGATGGTTTTCAAAGGAAGGAATGGATACCTCATGACAAGTAAGTGTTGGCCTAGTTTTCTTTTTTAGTTGAAAAAAGCTATGTTTATCCTTTATTAAATTTGTTGTGGTGTCAAAAATATCTTTGGAGATGCAAGGAATAAAACAATATACGGTCAACTTAGTTATACATTTTTATTTTGCTGCAGCTCTTGATGAAACCAGAGATATCGTCAGGGCAATACTACTTCAGTTGCTTTTCATTTACTTTGATATACTCTGTAAGTGCTAAGAGCTCTTAAAAGTAGTACTGTTCCAGCAAGGGGGTTTGGCAGGAACAGGCTTGTATGTGTAGCCTGTGGATTCCTGCCGGGTGCTGCTGTTGTACCTGAGAAAGGAAGTAAAGAAATAAGATGATGGTGGTGAACTTTGTCCATGTGGGGATACAATTGAACCTTGTATAATTTAAACTCCTGCTGGACTGAATGGATGAAGTTCAGAGGATGAATACAGACCATGCCCTTTAATGTATTTTCCCAGCTGAGAGAATAACGGGGAATACACTTTGAAAAAGGATCAGCTGTCTGAGAGCCTTTGACTCATGGTGGGATTTTTATCATGTGTCTTGGCACTCTGATACTCATTTAGTCTATCTGATTGCTGCATGGTAAAGATGAATTAAATATTTCCAATTTTTAAAGCATGGAAAAGACCTGAATGTTCTATGAAGGAGCTTTGTGTAAGTATTACTGTTTCTTTAGCAGGTGATGCATCAGTCACCATTATGGTGGCCATAAATGAGTAACTATTTAAAGCCAAGAATTTATCATTGTTTCAAACAATGTTTTAATAGTCTGATATTTCAAATTCTCACTTTAGTTAAAATATACACTCATAGTTCATGTTAACATAGAAAGCTTCAATAGTCAGATGTAGTTTCCTACAGGTGTTAGGGATGTCTAAGCTGAGAGGGTGATTGGAGTTTGGAGGCTGAGTGCCAGGACATGTTAAATTGTTTTACCTGGGTGCGTGCAGGTGCTCAAACTGCTGTTTGTTGGCAGCACCCTCAGAAAGGGGGAGGCCTCTCAACAGGCTTAAAGGCTTCTGGGCTTCAAAAGGTTTTTACGCTGGGCACAAAAGAGAAAGGAAAAGGCCCCAGTTCCAAATGTTTCCTTCTTCTTGAGAAGAGACAGGAAAACTTCAGTCTCTAAAGCTTCCCCTTTATTTTTAATGTGCTAACCTGGTTTCGTGTCAATAGGAACCTCCAACTATGTACTCTTGTACATGTTGTTTAAATACATTGATTTGAGTCACTTAAATATTCTTGTTGTTGAACAGCTTCTTGTGTAAAAACCATGTAAATTTGCAAGGAGTTTTTTTCTAGGGTGATGATAACACCTGAGAAAGCCTCCACTTAGTAGGTGAAGCAAAAAATCTGTGTAAATTCAAATCTTAATCAGGAGGCAGGAGTCTTTAATTAGGGTGTCTGTGGGAGGATGCAGGTGGGGAGTAGCTGTTTGCAGGGTTGGTTCCTTGCTCTGTGGTGGCTTCCTCTGTGTTACTGGTCTTTCATGGCAATCACCTTTGGGACTTCGGATCTGCTCTCTTTCTCTTCTTCCCTTCAACCAAATGGACTTGAAATCTGCTACTTGCAATGAAAACTTGAATACAGAAGCAGTAAGTAGCTCGAGATTAGCAAAACAGTAAATGTTAGACAGTTATGTACTCTTCAGTGTGCAGTGTTTGCCAAAGCTTTCTCTTTGAAAATACAATGCTATGTCTGAAGATGCACTTGCCTTGGAATTTGGAAAACAAATACTGATTTGTGCTTTTGAGCAAGTGGTAAGCCCTGGAGAAAAGCACTTGCCCATCTTTCTTGCTGATGCTCACCTTCATAGGATGTATATTTATAACCTTACTGTTCTAATAATCTTAAACAACTAGCCCTGAAGATAACTGAAGCATGACTTTGTTGCAATTTATCCTTCTTGCTGAAAGGGATTAAATAATATAAATCAAAGGTTAGTGAAAGCATTGCCTTGAATTTTAGATGCTTTTCAGTGCATCTTTTAGAAGGCTCTCTTTGAATTTCTTTGTTAAAAATACTCTGTAGGAGGAAAAATATCACTTGGGATCCATATATTATTCTGTGAATGTTGTGCTGGTAGCAACAGGAGACAATGGATGTCAAAAGAACCAGGTGCAAGAATTGCTTTCTAGATGCATAGGACAATCTGTGCACAAGCTCATATAATACTATATAATATATATAGTATAATATACATACTATATATATATAATATATATTTAATATATTATACTTGGTGAGACTGGTGCCAGTCAGAGTTTTATATGACTTGAGGACTGGAGAGAAAGCCTAAACTCACCTGCAATCAAAAACTATGTCTGTTGGACAAGAGAATGTTCAACAAATTGTAGCATTGTCTTGGAAAGCACCATAATTTACACCTTGCTCTGTTTGGTTACCTCAACTCTCCTGAGGTGAGCAGCTGTGCTGCAGGTGACCCAGAGAGTTGACTGAGAAAGGCTACTCCATAGGTTCTCAAAAGTTTTGATGGGCAGCAAACTTTGGTGTGTCTGGGTTGCCCATGCAACTGGCTCCTGGGACTGCAGCTGGTACTCTTCTCTCTTAGACCATTCCTCTGCTGCTGTTCAGGTCAGGAATCTGATCACTCTGTCTCCAAAGCCAGGCTTTACTCATGGGTGGAAGGCCTAACCAACTTAGGAGGGCTGTCATTTGTAACAAACAAAGGTTTATTTTCTTCTTTTTTGTTGTTGTTGTTTTGCTTAGCTGCTGACCTTAAAATAGGCATCTGAGTGATAATGGAGATGAGATTGAATGTAAACCATCTTAAAAAGACAAATGCCACCAGAACCTTAAAAAACTGTCTTAATCTTGATCAAACTCTGTTTTCATTATCTGTTTGAAGGATTTTCTATTACTGCAAAATAACCTGCAAAGAGTGTTCATGGATCTCCTGGTATAGCCAAATGCATTAGTCCTATTGGAGAGCCTAATCTGCACCATGGGTTGGTGGTGCCTGATCTTTCTGGCTGGGATGGACACTTAATTTAATCTTGAACCAGGGGAGCACCCTTCATACCTCCCTGCTAGGTGGAGTGGCAGTGGGATGGGAGAGTTCTCGCTGTCCATGTGAAAACTCGGAGAGTACTACTGCCATTTGTTTGGCTGCTGTCTGCTCCCTCCGTGGTGAATGGAAAGAGAGACTGTGGGGTGGATGGCTCTTATAGGAGCTCAGGGTCTGTGCCTTTGGCTTTTTAGGCTCACCCTGCACCTCTCAATCCCCAGAGGAGAAGCATTTACTTATTGGATTTTATCTGCACAGTCAGGGGCTCAAATCAGGATCTCCAGGATACAGCTGTCTTGTCACTTGCTATAATTTGACTTCAGGCCAGAATCTGGAGTTCTTTTTAAGCGTCATGGCAGACCTACACTGCAACAGGGTTTTTAATCACAGTCCTTGTTTTAAACCAGAAGCATGTTATGAAGCAGTAATTCTCTACAGGTTTCAAAGCTTAGGGTGTATTGTTAGTTACCTGCTGGAGTGCTGTGCTCTTTCAGTTCTCAGGTTTATCAGGGTTTTGTTTTAAGATGAGTCTCCTTGTGACCTCATACCAATTCAGCTAAGAACAGTCCTGCTTGTGCAGTGTATTGCTTCCTTTATTTCATGGCTTCACATTAGGATACAGAATTACTCAGAAAGCCAGAGGCTTTCTCAAGGCCTGCTTGTTAGTTATTCCTCCTCTATACGCTGCCAGCCTGGATCTTTCTGTAGTTGTGTGATACAGGTTCCATGTGAAGAGGCTGAACAGCTCAAGTACCTGCTGCATTTGGCACACCTCTGGGGTTTGAGGCTTCCGTGGTTTGCATCTGTCGTGCTTTCTTTCATTCCCTCTGGAAGTGAGAGAAGGAGCTCACAATGTGAAGGCAGTCTGAGTTCCAGATGAGTCTCATGTGATGCCCTTTTTGGGGTAGACAGTCTAGTAACTGGGGAACAATGATACAATTCTAATTACTCTTGATAAAATGTAAAATAAAGGTTTTCTGAAGTTTGACGGCATTGAGCTGATTCGTGCACTTCTGCCAGTCATTCCATATTTCAGTCACTAAAGAATGTACTTTATTTAAAATAAAGGTTGTGTGCATTTTTCATTTGTCACACCTTGGAACTTGATTTTGAGCTGGTGGCACAGAAAATGTTCTTTTGATGCATTTCAGGGGACAAAATAGTTGTCTTTTTCAAATACTTTTTTCTCAGTAAAGGAAGGTGTTTTTGTTGTTAAAAATACATTGTGTTAATTATACACATATGTAGGAATCCATCTTCCTCCTAGAGGAATGGTGAAGAGGCTCCAGAACTCATGGATGAAGTGTTAGGAAGCTGTAGGTGTGGGTGAAAGTATGAACCAGATTTCTTGTGCCAGACCCACCTGCTTACAAAGGCCTCCTGCTGTGCAGGCAGGGTTGTTTAGGATAGGAATTGCCTTGCTCCAGATCATCCATCTGTCCCTAAAAATGGCCCTTCTGTATGTGCAGAGAGTGAAGTGCATCCACATGATGGTTTGGACATGTTGGATGTCCCGTGCCCTGCTGCCTTCAGGCTGGCCAGACTTGGGAGGTTTGCTCCAAACCAAGACCACTGTTGATCTCTGTGGAGGCTTACAGGATATAACCCTCCCTGGTCCTGACTTACAAATATGCCTGAAATAATTTCTGGTTTCCAAACTGCCCTGGAGGGCCACGAGCAACTGCAGTTCAAAGGAGTGAGGTGATGGCTGTTGAAAATGGTTCTGATTCTGAGGTTCTGCACTGCAGGACTGGCTTGCAGAAAGGTCTTTAATACTGAAGCACTTATGCTCTCCTGCAAGGAGTTTTATTTTTTCTTGATGCCAGCAGGATTATCTGGTTGCTGGTGCTATAAATGTTGCCCATGTGAATGTCCTGAGGAATCCTGCCAGACACCTTCCCTACTTAGTAATTTTGCATGGGATGGAGCTGGAACTGAAGCCTGGGATAAC